CATCTCGTGAGGAGACACCCTGTGTTTGTTTTCCTTTATCCCCGGGTGAGATGTATCATGTCAGCTGATTTATCGCTGGAAATGACCGGAGGGCGTTGAACTGCGGGCGCTGGGGCAGGCGGGGTGCGTGCGTGCGTGTGTGTGTGTGTGTGGATAAATATTATTAGCCGTGATTGATAGAGGGGTGATTGTGAGGGAGAGAGAGAGAGGGAGAGGGAGAGGATGAGAGAGAGAGTGTGTGAGAGCAAGGGGGAGAGATAGGGGGAGGAGAGAGATGGTGTGAGAGAGGGGGAGGGAGAAAGAGGTGAGAGGAAGGGGAAAGGGGGAGAGGGAGAGGCAGAGCAAGAGGAAAATGGAAATAGAAAGAGAGAAAGATAAGCAAAGCAGCAAGAGGAAAGAGAGAAAAGAAAGAGCGACAGCCCATTGCCAGTCGCACGCCCGTGGTCGAGCGCGGGGCGGGGTCATGCAACCTGCGCAACAATGACCCATCGTATGGGTGGCGGGCGCGGGCGGATTTGCATGTGCAGGCGGCGGGAAGTGGGAAGTAATGACGGGTCCCTTTTGGCGGGCGGAACCGGGCACGAGTTGCAATTGCGCGGGGTAAATAGACGGAGGAATCGGCGATGAGATTGCGCGTGGGCGGGTGGCGGTGGGCGGGATTGTTGGCGGGTGCTCTCGTTCTGGTGGCGGCGGGCGGCGAAGAGTGGCCCTCGATTCGGTTCGATTCGGTTCTCGTCTCTTCTTCTGTCTTCTGTCTTCCTGTCTTTTTCTTCTTTTCTTTTCCTTTCCTTTCTAACGTCTGTCCCTCCCGCCTTCCTTCCCTCCTTTTCCCTCACTTCCCTTCCTTCTCTGCCCCCCAGTTCCCCTTTCTTTTCCTCCCTTCATTACTCTCTCGTTCCATCTCGCGTTTGTCAACTCTTTACTTTTTTATTATTATTATTTGTATTTTGCTTTATTAATTTATTATTATTTTATTATTATTTATTATTTTTATTATTATTATTATTATATTATTATTATTATTGATATGCGTTGTTATTATTTCCGTTCTCGCACATCAGGATCGGTCGGGTTCGGATTTTTCAATAATAATCAATTGCCAGTGTAGGCCTACGGGCAAGAGGTGTGTGTGTGGGGGGGGGGGGTATCATGCCATAGAGGTGAAAATTCGCCAGATTTTAAGTCTTTAATGACCTCTATAGCAGTATTTTTTCAATCATGAGAAGGGTGGGAGAGAGGAGGGGGGATAGGGAGGTGGGGATAGGAGGATAGGAGGGGGAGAAGGGGAATGGGAGGGGTAGGAGGAGGGGAATGAAGGGGCTATGGGAGTGAGGGAATGGGGCGACAGGTGTGGGGGTAGAGAATAGGGTTGGGGGGTGGAGGGTCAGTAATTACTCCGACACTCCGCCGGTGGTAATCACGCTGTGCTTGATTTAAGGATCGCTGGCACGACTTCCCGCCGTCTCCCCCGTGGGCCCCCGGGGGTCGCGCTCCCCGCTCGTTTCGTCTCGGGGAGGCTCGCCTTGTCAGGGGGAAAGGGCTCTGTCTGTTTGGCTGTCTCTCTTCTTTGTCGTCTTTCCTCTCTCTCTCTCTCATCTCTCTCTCTCTCTGTCGCTCTTTTCTTCTCTCTCTCCTCTCTTCTCTTCTCTCTCTTCTCTCTTTCCTTCTCTTCTCTCTCTTTCTCCTCTCTTCTCTCCTCTCTCTTCTCTTTCTCCTCTCTTCTTCTCTCTCTCTCTCTCTCTCTCTCTCTCTCTCTCTCTCTCTCTCTCTCTGTATACTATTTATCCACTTCTTTCCTTAGGTTATTTCATCCGTATGCCACCAGCTCATCCAACAACTTCTCGTTGTATAATTTCCTATACAACCCTTGTATAACTCACCTGTTATTCATGTAAAACTCCTTTGTATAATTCCCCGAAGGAGTGCCTCCCCACGCCCCCCGGCCGGAGCGAGGCGGAGGGCGCGGGCGGATCGACGCGCCGCGGCAGTCCGCCTCGTTGGGCCGCGTTAAAAATGTGGCTCACACACGCGAGGGAATTGCTGCCGCCTGCCGAGAAGTGGCCAAGCGCCGTAGGCCTAGGCTCCGGTTGGCAATGGCAGGGGGTGGGGGTGAGGGAGGCAGGGAGGGAAGGAGGGGGATAGAGAGGATGAGCGAGGGAGGAAGGAGGGGATAGAGAGGATGAGGGAGGAGGGAGGGAGGGGGTTAGAGAGGATGCGGGGAGGGAGGAGGAGGGAAGGAAGGAGGGGGATAGAGAGGATGAGCGAGGGAGGGAAGCGGTGGTGGGAAAATGAAGACGAAGGAGGGAGGGAAGCAGGAGCAGGGAAGAAGGAAGGTGGAAGGGGGGAAGTTAAGGGAAGAGCAGGCTCTTGGAAAGGGATCAGGACGGCAGGATAGCGACGGGTCCCTCGGGCAGCAGAGCGCAAGTGTCTGGAAGAAAGGTTGCGAGGCGAGGCGTCCTTTAGCGAAGTCCCGACGTCGTTGCGTGACGTCAGGTTGCTCTTATTTGCAGTCTCATGCTTTTTTCCGTTTCTGTTGATTTAGCGAGGTGCACAGGAACGTATAACACGGTCCAGGTAATGGATGTACGCATAGGTAGAGATAAATACAGACTGTTGGATAGATAAATAGATATAGATAAAAGGTAATAGATATAGGTAACAGAAAGATAGATGAATATTGATTGATAGATAGATAGATACCAGCACATTAAAATCCAATGAAAACTACTTTGAGAGGAAGACTCTTTTCTTCTTCTTCTTCTTCTTCTTCTTCTTCTTCTCTCTTCTTCCTCCTCCTCCTCCTCTCCTCTCTCCTCCTCCTCCTCCTCCTCCTCTCCTCCTCCTCCTCCTCCTCCTCCTCCTCCCTCCTCCTCCTCCTCCTCCCGCAAGGAATCCTCGGCAGGTGACAGAGCCAAGAGCCAAGAGCCAGGGCGCTGCGGGGGCCTCGGGGACAAAGAGCTCTTATCTCTCTCACTTTTATGCTCGAAGCGCCCCTTGCCTGCCTGTGCCTTCTTCCTCTGTTTACTTGGGGATGCTTCTCCCTCTTCCCCCCTCCTCTAGCTTCCTTTCCTCCCCTCTTTCCTCTCTTCCCATTTCCTTCCTCTCCTTCACCCTCCCCCACCCTCCTCTACTCCCTTCTCCTCCTCCTCCTCCTCCTCCTTTCCCCCCACCTTCCTCTACTCCCTTCTCCTTCTCCTCTTTCTATCCCCTCCTTCCTCTACTCCCTACTCTCCTCCTTCCCCTTCCCCCCCCCCTCTCCCTCGTTCGCCTTCCTGTGTCGCGAATTAGACAGCGAGGGGGGGCGTGGGGTTGGGGAGGAATGTGGGAGCCTTGGCTGGATTTTGGGTTGATTTTTGAGTGTCTCTCTCTTCTCTCTCTCTCTCTCTCTCTCTCTCTCTCTCTCTCTCTCTCTCTCTCTCTCTCTCTCTCTCTCTCTCTCTCTCTCTCTCTCTCTCTCTCTCTCAAATTCCTTCTCGTTTTTCTTAGTTGTTCAGCTTACACAAACAAACAAAAACAGTCAGCCTGTGACGCCCTCAAGCATGTAGACTGCCGGCGAGCGTGACTTTCAGAGTTATGATAAAGATGTTGGAGGCGATGTTTTAATTGCTAACCCTTGGTGGTATGTGGCCATGTATGCTGCACTGTATGCCTCCCCTACCCATATGCCCCTATCCCCCCCCTTCCCCCCGGGCCGCCCAACAGAACCGCTCTGTCACCGCACAAAGTGACCCTTTCGCCTCACGATCCCTAATTGTCCTTCCCGCCATAACCGAACGTTTATTTGAACATTTATTACCGGATTTATTGCCAGAATTTATTTCGTTATTGTGCAACATCAAGGCCCGACGGCTGCCCTTTGACACGGACACCAGACACTGCCGTAAATTCCGCCTCCTGGGGCCCGGCGGCGGGACAGTGCTAACCCGCGGCTGCCGATAGGGGCTGTTTCTCGCAGCGTTGCCCCGGGGACTCGACCCTTACGCGCACCTGCGTTCCGAGCGCCTCTTGCCCCCCGCCGGAGATTGGTAACCCGGGCGAGGCCTCATATTTCGGACAGGTTTTAAAATTGGGCGATTTCTTACCCCTGCGAGTGTTCACGTAATGAGCGGCGGGAACGAGACGCCCCGGGGGACGGCCGGGCGAGGGGGCTCCTCCGCCGTCGCCGTCGCCCGCAGGAGGGGGTGGTGAACGAAGGGGAGGAGGAGGAGGAAGAGAAGAAGTAGGAGGAGGAAGAGGGAAGGGGGGACATGAGGAGAAGGAAGAGAAAAAGGAGGGACAGAAACACATCGAAAGATAAGCTAGATTTGGAAGAGGAAAGAAATGAAAATAAAACAAAGAAGAAAAGACGGGAAATAAGCAGCGGTCAGATGGACAAGGAGAGGGCGAGTGATGAAAGGGAGGGACAGGGACAGGAAGAGGCAGAGTGAAAGGGAGAGTAAGAGTTAGCGTGAGTGTCTCCAAATGCAGACTGTAGATGTTTTGAAATATATATGTGAATAGGGTTATTAGATGAATAGCTAGACACACACACACACACACACACACACACACACACACACACACACACACACACACACACACACACACACACACACACACACACACACACACACACACACACACACACACACACACACACACACACACACACACACACACACACACACACACACACACACACACACACACACACACACACAGCGAGTGAGAGGCAGAGAGGGAGAACCGAGCAGAGACAGAGAGAGAGGAGAGGCTACGGACGCTGCGGAGGAACAATGGCTCACGACAGGCTCACGGAGTGTAGTCCTGAGTTATTGTCCGTTCGTGTGTGGCGCCGCGAAGTGACGGGTATAAATAGACGAAAATGAATGGACGGGAAGGAGTCGGCGCGGATCGGCAGTCGAGGGCTAAGCGTGTGGGGGGGCGGCGGGCGCGGGTGGAGTGGCTGATCCCCGGGGTTGATGTTTGTGGTTGATTCTGCGAGGCCGAGTCTTATTTACTCCCCCTCGTGGGCGCCAACCCCGATGTAGAGACCAGCAAGCCAGCGGAAGCCAGTGGCAGGCGCTTGAGGGCGCTCTTGGGGGCCTTCTTCGCTCCGGCCGGGTTGCCCCGCGAGTCCGCCCTCGGTCGCACGGCTTTCGGGGGATCTGAGGGCGGGGAAGGGGCGGCGGCGACGAGGAAGGGGCAGGGGGCGGGCGTGAGGATGAGGGCAGGGCCACGGCATGGGAGTGGGCCTAGCTCCGCGGCGGCAGGGAGGCGAGGTTTACGAGGGTTGCCCAATGAGCGAGGGACGCCTGCCGGGCGCCGTGGTCAGTCCTGCCGCTGCTAATATATATTATTAGCTCCCCCTCCTCTCTGTGTCTCCCGCTCGCCCCCTCCTCGCCTCCTGCACCTTCACCTCAGGTGCTTCGAGTGGCAGGGGAAGGGGAGGGTAGAGGGGGCGGCGTGCCCACGGGGCGGGATGAGGGCCAGCCAGCCAGCGACGGAGCCTTGTGCGCTGTCACTCTTCGCGAGGTCCGTCCGGCTGTCTCTCAAACCGCAAGTATAATCCTCTTTGCACTGAGACGCCGCCATCCCTCAGGCCGGGAAGCAGCAACGGGGAGAGAGCCCGCGAGGGGGCGTCGCCGGCGCCCGGGAACGAGCAGCCGAGTCGCCATGACAACCGCCTCCTGCTGGAGATAAATGCCTCGACACAGGCGGACGTACTCCATATAGTACGGAGGCGAGCGCCCAGTGGACGACCTGCGGGGAGGTCGCCGCTCCTGCGGGTGACACTTGTGGGAGCCGCTATTAGGGTCAAGGTGGCGGGCGATGTTGATGGCCGCTGGGCGCTCGCTCTCTCCTTCTTTTTCTAATTTCTTTATCATTCCTCTTCTCCCCCCCCCCCGTCTCTCTCTCTCATCATCATCATCATCATTACCAGTCTCCGCCCCCCCCCCCAACACAAATACGCCACATTCCCTTCCTGACCCAATAAGGCCCGATTGCGTATGCACTAAGGAGCAAATGTCAGAATGCAAGGCAGCGACGGGGTAAGTCGGCGGCGCTTCCGCATTAAAACCAAAGCGTTGATATCCACCTGATCCACCGCGCCGCCTGTGTGGGTCGGCGCACATCCGTCGCAGAGGCGGGAGGAGTTAGGATCTGTTTCCCTTGACGACGCGACGCCCCCGCGGGAGGGGCGCGCTGCTCCCGGCGACCCCGCTCGTCACGGCGTCCTTTGCCGGCGGGGAACGACAAGACTTGGGACTGATGGAACGCCAGGGGGTTGGGGGTGGAGGGGCGTTCCTCGGGATTTTTATTGTTAGCAGTTTTGTATATGTATATATGTGTGTGTGTATATATATATATATTTTCCTTTTTTTGACTGTCTGGTTCATGATTTAGAAATATTAACAATTTGTTTTCTTTGTTGCAGGTGAGTTGCGAATCGCAGAAGTGGCGTAGGCCTACTCCGGTAAGACTTCCTCACCACCCCCCCTCCTCATGATATTCCTGCTGACCTTAAGGAAATAACACGTGTCATATGGGACGGATGAGAGGTGTCACTGCTACAATTTCTGTCACGAATCTCTGTCTGACAGGCTGTTGGACCCGCTCACTCGCTGTCTATGTTGCTGTTATCTGTATAGAAAAAAATCAGTTTACATCAAAACAAACAACTTCATTAACAGTATATACATATTTTCCTCTCTATTTATAGATTTGATTTTGTCTTCTGCTTGTCTTTCAATCAATGACCCCATCTAATCTGGTTATCGATACTATATATCTACCTATCTGTTTATTTATGCGCGTCAGCAATCTTCCTGATATTGTACACACCCGCCAGTTGTTATGTTTGTTGTTATTGTTAATTGTTGTTATATCTATGCCCTTGCTCTTTGTTTCTTATTTTCCTCTCTTGTTATTCGGTTGGTGAACTTGTTGCTTTGTTGTTTGTTTGTGGTTAGTTAAAGTGTGTTTTGCGGTCTTCTTATGGGTATGGGTTATGTGTAGTATTTGGTAGGACTTTTTTCGAAATGAGAAACTTCTGATGAATCAACGAAATTTTAAAGCAAGTTGGGTGTGGACGCATAGCCTTCGAATGTTTAGGCTTGTGTGCCTTGCTTAATTTGCATAGACTTTCCACCCTTAGTTCTACATCGTTCTTACTCTCGAACTTTCACTCTTCTCTTCTCTCTCTCTCCTCTCTCTCTCTCTCTCCCTCCTCATCTATCTATCTATCTATCTATCTACACATCTATGTATCTATCTTTGTATCTCTCGTCTTCCCACCCCCTCCCCCCCTCCCTTCCTCTCTAGCCCTTCCCCTATTTAGCTCGCATCCCCTTCAGTGCGGAGCCGAGAGCCGACGGAGGAAGGCGTGTCTCTCCGCGCGTGGCAGCCTGATTCAATAAAAATGTAATATCCGGTCCCCAATTAAAGGAAATCGAATTATAACGATGCGAAGTCGAGGCGAAAAATATTGGATAGGCCTTGATTGGGTGGATGGGCGCGGCGGGTTTGCGGAGGGATGGAGGGATGGGCGTGTGTGTGTATTTATTTGTTTGTGTAAGTGCGTTATCGCTCTCTCTTCTCTCTCTTTCTCTTCTCTCTTTCTCTCTTTCTCTTCTCTTTCTCTTTCTCTTTCTCTCTCTCTCTCTTCTCTCTTCTCTCTCTCTCTCTCTCTCTCTCTCTCTCTCTCTCTCTCTCTCTCTCTCTCTCTCTCTCTCTCTCTCTCTCTCTCTCTCTCCTCTCTCTCTCTCTCTCTCCTCTCCCTCTCTCTCTCTCTCTCTCTCTCTCTCTCTCTCTCTCTCCCTCTCCTCCCTCCCTCTCCTCCCTCCCTCCCTCTTCCATCCCTCCCAGTCTGACCGCCACAAGTTACCTGCCCGACACATACCTGGGCCCACAGGGAGAGGGAGGGAGAGAGGAAAGAAGGGGGGGGGGAGGGAGGATAGGGGCTTAGGAAAGAAGGGAAAGGGGGAAGGGAAATTGGAGGGGGTGGGGGAGGGGTCCGGGCCGGGGGAGGACAGCTGATATTCGCGTGCTAATCTCCCCTCCAGGCCTACCGGTTCCTCGGCCAGCCCTCCCCACCCTCCCCCTCCCCCCACGCCCAGTGCCACCGCCACCGCCGCGTCCGGAGGATTTTCCTCTCGGTTTTCCTCGAACGCCTTTTGTGTGGGAGGAGGGAGAGAGAGAGGGGGGAAAGGGGGGGCATACACGCACAAGCAAGCAAACACGCATCGAGCACACACACACACACACACACACACACACACACACACACACACACACACACACACACACACACACAACACACACACACACTCACACACTCACACACACTCACCACACATCACACTCACTCACAATCTCACAATCCTCTCTCTTTCTCTCTCTCTCTCTCTCTCTCTCTCTCTCTCTCTCTCTCTATATATATATATATATATATATATATATATATATATATATATATATATATATATATATATCAATCTATCTCTCTCTCACCCCATTGCAGTATCACAGCTACACACATTTCCAGTTCATTGGACATTATGAAACTGATCTCGAGAGAATCGAAGACAGAAAGGGAGGGAGAAGGAGAGAGCGAGCCCGAGAGACCGCCCTCGGGACCCGACGGGGAAAGCGGGGAGCTCAACCTGATCCCTCGGCCGCAGCAGCTCTTTAAACTCGAGACTCCGAAGGGGTTGCGTGCCCCTCCCCCTTCCCCCTTCCCCCTTTGGCCTTCGCAAGGGGGCTCGCTGGCTTTTGTGTCTTTCTCTCTCTCTCTCTCTCTCTGTTTCTTTCCTTTTCTTTCTCTTTTTTCCTTTTCTTTCTTGCTCTCTTTCTCTTTCTTTCTCTCTATTTCTCCCTTTCTTTCTCTGTCTTTCTCTCCTTCCATCTTTCCTTCTGTCATTCTATCGTTCTTAGTCTTCTTTTCTCTTTCATGCATGTTCTTTTTGTTTATTTATTGTATCCTTGCTTCATTGTATTGTTTTTCGCTTGTCATTTCCCTGGTTCTGTTTTATTTGTTTAATGAACTAGTTAATTGATATTTTGTCACAGATGGATCTTATCTCTCTTTTTACTTCGTCTTATTTTTTTATTCCTAAAGTGTACACTATTTTTATGTTTTATGTATTCACGTATGTTTTTACTCAGTTCATTTATTTATTTATTTGGTCACGATTGTTCTTATGAAAAGGTGAGGTGGGTGGTGTGGAGGGGGGGGGGGTCTGGCATACGCTCTCGAGTCGTCCATACACGACCACGTGCCGTTTCAAGGGGCACAGTGCTTCCTCTCCTCAACCCCTGCCCCCCCCCCTATCCTTCCCCTCCCTCTCCTACCCCCTGCCCCTTCCCTCCTCCCTTACCCACAATCCTCCCCTCCCTCTCCCCTTCCCACCCTCTCCTTACCCCCTTCCCCCGTTACCCTCCCTCTCCCCTCCCCCCTCTCCTTCCCCTTCCCCCTTACCCCTATCCTTCCCCCTCCCTCCCCCTCCCCTCCCCCCCATTCCCCTTTCTGTCTCCGCCCCTCGTTCATGACAACCCGGGACCCATTTCCTCCGTGTCCGCGTCTCGAGTGAATGCACCCCTTTTTGGGAGACGCGGAGCCCAATTTTAAGAGCGATTTAAGAGCGGGAGGGCCTTGTCATCCGTAGGGGAGCGGGGGGGGGGAGGGGGAGGTCCAAGGGGAGGGTTCCTGAATGGGGGAAGACGACGTAAAACCTGCGTAAAAGTTCCTCCTCTTGTCGGGCCGACGTCGTTGCGCTCCCGTGCCGCGCTGTCTCCATTCTGATTCTGTTCGGGCTTTTATTGCCGTTTATTCTCCGTCCTTTCTTCGCGTTTTGTCCCTCTTTCTCTTCCCCTCTATTCTCCCCTCCTCTTCTCTCCTTCCCCCTTCTTTCTCCTCCTTCCCTCCTTTCCGTCCTTCCCTCCTCCCTTCCTCCACTCCCTTCCCTTCCCTTCCTTTCCCTTCCTTCCCCTCCCTCCGTCATCTCAATGACCGGCCAAGTCGATGGTCGTAGGCCTATGGGACTCCTTCCTTCTCTCCCCCTTTGATGGGAACCTCTATTGCTCGAAAAGGTGCGCAGAAGGGTGGAGGAAGAGGAAGGAAAGACGGTAACGACAGCGACCCCGAGGGAGCCATGCCAGACCACCGAATAAAAAGGAAAAGACCTAAAAATGCAGAGATACGCCCGACGAAACGCGAAGCCCAGGTGAGCGGGGGAGGCGGCGGAGGGCGCGGGCGGACGGCTTGATAACAACCCGGAGGAAGCCACGCGCGCTATCATGCACGCCCACATATGTCGTTCGAAGGGCGTAAGGACGTCGAGGTGGACGTCGAGGTGGGGAGGAGGGGGAGGGGGAGGGGCGTAAGGACGTCGAGGTGGAAGGAAGGAGGGGAGGGTAAGGACGTCGGGGTGGAAGGGGGAAGGGGGGGGGGGAACGGCAAAAAGCTGGAGCGCAAGAAAAAGGGAGAGAGATAAGGCGACGTACGGCAGAAGAGGGGAGATAGTGGGATTGGGGAGCGACGTGAGGTGAGCCAAGATAAGGTGAATCGGGACAGAGGAAGGAAGGAAGGAGGG